CCCCCACCCCTACCTCTACCACCATCCCCCTTTACCATCATCGTCACCGCCGCCTTTACTGTCACCATTATCGCAGTCGTCACCACCACTGCCACCGCTGCCTCTGCCACCACCACCACCACTATCACGATTATTGTTACCCACCACAACTATCATTGTCTCTTACCATCACCACTATCACTCACTATCTCTCACCCCTACTATAAATCGATATTTAAATTCTTTTATCTTTTCTTTATGTTTGTGATTTAATTTTGGACATGAATATAAATATGTTTACAATTTATCATTTTTTTATTAAGGCAAAGACAATAACTATAACTAGTCCTAAAATACAAATCAAACCAGTCTTCAAAACTCTGGTAATTCTGGTAATTCCCCAGCTCTAAAGAAGACATTGTACCAAAAGCCCATGTCATTGTCAATAGTTGCACTGTGTGTATCTACACATTCTGTGCTAATATTAACCGGCGATAATGGAATTTCAAAGTGTAATTCATCGGTGCCACCGGAAATATCTGATTGCGTTTTTGCTGGTAACTCTTCTGACCAGAAACTTTCATCGATTTCTGGAAAATACTCCGATGAATAGTCCATTTCTTCATCCTTGATGGCCATGTTATTTGTTACCATGGTCATGGCCGATGAGTCGGTCACTGTTGAGAGTGCGCTACAGGAGTGTTGTGGTGAAACTGGTGCACATCGAGGACTCTCATTTATGCCAAGTCTCGGCGTACCGGTGAGGTTGCTGAATTTAGAAGTCATGGATTCAAGTTGCGAAAATAGTGCAGTAGAAGAAACCTCCTTCGCCGAGCTTTCCTTTTTAAATTCCATTGGAGCATTAGAGTGTTTCTTGGTGCCCTGAGAGGTTTGATTATTTTTGAGCCTTTTATTCAAGTGGGTGTGCCACACGTTTTTTATTTCATTGTCAGTTCTTCCCGGTAATCTTGCTGCAATGGCAGACCATCTGACAGTGAACAGAAAATTTCATATAAGATATTATCACAAGTTGAGCAAATTCTTGTTGGTTTAACAGTAGAAAGCAATATAAGAGCTTGTGCTGGTCTGCAATTTTATATAATCTTTCTCTGAGTACCACACAATACTGTGGAGATATGGACATGATCTCTAATTGTAACACCCCAGAGAATCTTTACAGCTCTAGCCTTGTAGTTCTTTATAAAATCAACATGCAGAGAGAGAGAGATTATGATAATCTAAAATATCTACATTTCCAAGTCCCCACAAAAAGTAATAAATATAATTGAAGTGAGGAAGGAGACAAGGTATAAACCTAAATATCTTGAGTTTGAATCTTAACAGTCTCGTAGTATCAGACTATAAAGGATTTATCCCTCATAAACATCTTAGTTTCGACGTAAATAACTTGTATTTAACCTGACCAAACTGACCAAAGAAGAAAATAATCAAAGTGCACATAAATTAATTCAGATATTTCAGACCGTTGGACACAGTCCCCGAAAAAAAACCCTCATGCAACGCATTACTTATTAATCAAATAATGAACAAGATAGCTTTGATGGCTGACACTAGCAACCTATTCCCAATACAAAACGTATTGGATATTCAAACTTCAAAATACCAAATGTATGGTGTTGAGTGGTTCAGCTAAAAAAGTCCACGAGGGAAGCACGACCACAAAAAAACCATAACGAGCAAAAAAATAATTGTCCTTTTATATCTTTTTTAACTAGTCGTGATATGCATGTGACAGATCTGGTTCTATGCGATGCTATAAGGACTCCAGAGAAATAATAGAAAACCGAGTAATGTTATGTGCAACAAAAGTTCATGTAAGTAATTAAATAAAGGAAAATGAAATTTTTGGGAATGAAAAAGTGTAATTTCACGCACCTATTCCCAAGCATGTCATGTAACTTAATGATGGTTTCTTCTTCTTCCTTGTTGAAATTTCCTCTCTTAATATCTGGTCGCAAGTAGTTCGTCCACCGGAGTCTGCAGCTCTTCCCACATCTTAGTAGACCTGAAAAAAAAAAGAAATAGTCTTGAGAACATATTAAAAAGACAAAACCCAGAAAAGTAAATCACAATGAAATAAAAACCCTCAATTTTTTATTTTATTTTCAGTTTAAACACAAAATTTGAACACTCCAAAGAATAGGTGAAATTTGTTGATCAGTTTTAAATTGGACAACTTTTCTATTTACTTGCTGCGTTGATGCAACAGTAAGATTGTTTCTCTCACGGTATCCTGGATTTAAACAAGAAACAATATCTCATTCGGGTCATGAGATATGATTCGTACATATAACTTTCCCGGGATCCCATAGTGATGGGATTTTCGTACACTAGGTATGCCCTTTAAACGAAGAAGTGAGAAACTGAAACAAAGGTGACTTTCATGTTGCATTATATAAATCTGCTTCTTCCCTTATAAAATTTTCAGGGAAGAGAGAGAGAGAGAGAGAGAAAATCATTGATATCTTCATGACCTATAGACATCTATAGAGAAAACCCAGATTGAATTTTGTAGTTACCTGATAGTTTGGGGAGTGCACGCCAATTTCCATGACCATTTTGCTGAATGTAAGAGATCAAAATCTGATCTTCTTCAGGAGTCCATGGCCCTTTCTTCAGTCCCATCTTTTCACAACAAGGAGCTCTCACCATATTTGTTCTTAAATTCTAATCTCTCTCCCTCTCTCTGAACTTGAACACTCTCTTTCAAAGGGATATAGAGAATTGAGATCCCAAAGCTCAAGAGTGCTTTATAGGCCAAGATGGGTATTTATTCTAAAGATATTCCACTAATAGTTTTATAGAAAAGTCCAAGTATTGCATCTGAATTGAAAAACACTTTGCTCGCAGTTTCCAGGAAAGAGGATCTCTTTCTCTCTCTCACACACACACAAACACATTTAAGTGATTTTTTTATCAGTACAATGTGGACGTTAGATACCACCGACTAGGGTGGTCCATTTGGTGGAATTTTTTATCCTGAAGTTAGAGGTTTAAATTTTGAAATTTATAGTGAGATTCAATACTTAACCGTTATACTAATCTAATTAAATTTATTATTCGAATCTTGAAATTCACATTGAGACTCAATACTTAACCGTTATGCTAATATAATTAAATTCATTTTCAAGAGATGTAAAAATCTTATGATCCCATTAATAAAAATTTATTGGGATAATTTCTGAACACTTTCTTTTTCCCCACCCGTGTTGACGTTAGAGAGTTTAATGAGGAGTTGTCCTGTAGTGATTTGGTAAAGAACACGGGCAGGGCCAAATCACAATTTGCATGTAACTTCATAAAAGAATTACTAGTTGTGTCGAAACTGACGAGCGTAAGCAAATGACGTTACACAGCATTAAAATATTCCACAATACGACAAGTCACCAATGGTTTTTTCTATGTATTTTCCAATATTCATTAAATATTGCTTTTAATTGCATTTGCTCTAGTCAAGGTTCATTCACTCACGTACCACAGGCAGATATATAACACTAATGGGTTGCTTTGTACTCGTTGATTGTATATATGAGTCACTCTATTGGCCGGTTCAACAAAGGTTAGTCACATTTAAGATTACCTAACTTCATTAATTTCGGTGCTTAATTTGGTATGAAATTCAATCACACGCTCTCATGATTATAATAAGGTTGACCCAAACAATATTACAAATGGGTTGGTTTTGGTAAGTGATACCAATTTTCTCAATTCAATTCTACACGAAAAGGATTAGGACTAGTTAGATCTGGGTTCCGACTCTAACTTATAAAATTAATCTTATTATTAAACAGTTGATGTTAGACCCATGACATGTCCGCACAACCATGTCCAACTCCTCTCCATAAATTCTTGGACCTCTCAATAAGGGGACACACATTTGCTTGGGAGTCCCATTGTAGTGCCTCTAAGGCCATTTGGTAGTATGCTAGGTTTTGCTCTGATCCAGTTTTCATCTAGTAGTGGAAGGCGAGATGTAGCCCTATATATCGAAAGTGAAGCTACAAAAATACAATCCGATTGTCGTCATTTAAGAAGTATCCTAAAAGTATTTTCATGGAAACCCATTAATGAAAGCCAGATCTAAAGGGACATAGGCCAAGACTAGAGTCCGAACCTTCACTTTAACTTGAAACTTTGATGTGTTTAGTGAAAAATAATCAAGACGTGAATGCGAGCTTGATGCTCTTATTGTACAAATGTCCAATAACTTTTAAAATTAGTCTTTCGAATCAAACAAGACTCATGATTCAATAATCTACATTTCAGTTTATTTTTTGCTAAGCTTCTTCACCAAAACCTATGAGTATCACTTCTATATAAATGTCTGATCATAAAGTGGCTACAATAAGATACCCGTGTGCATATGCAACATGTTGAAGAGTTATCATTCGTCGATTAATTAAATCAAACTTGTTTATTCTCTAATCAGTTATTAATACGGCCAAGAATAATCTAATCGGCACCCGTCAACCCATGTGGTTTGGTCGTCGTTAGGTTTAAATTATCATATTTGGTACTTATTTAGAAGTTAAATTAGAGGGCTTATTAGTAATTAAGTTAAAGAATTTGAATAGCCCTGTAAGTCATGTTCGGAAAATGGAAGAGACCCACTCTTCTGAGGAATGATACAAATTATCATACTTGGCACTTATTTAGAATTTAAATTAGATGGCTTACTAGTAATTAAGTAGGAGAATTTGAATAGCCCAATAAGCCATTAAATGTTCGGAAATACTACACAATTTAAATGAAACTCAAAAATTGTAATATAAATACATATCATCCCTAGATGAGTGTCGGATGAGTCGGTCTCACTGAAGAAGTTGATAGGACTCGTTCATCCAAAAAATATGCAATTTTTGGATACTATTTGTATATTATTAGTTTGACTAACTAATGCACCACTAGAATTGGCTGTGCGGATCTAGGGACCTGGGGAGGGGGAGACTGGCCCTCTTTTAGTTTTTTAAAGAATTTAGGAAGAGACTTTCACTCTTTTTTATGGAGTTCGTCCCCAAATGGCTTTCTATTTTCTATATTCTATGTCAGAATGAGTAATTTGTTACATATATATATATATATATATATATATATATATATATATATATATATATATATATATATATATAAGACGATAATGGCTAGTCATGTATTGAATTTGCATCGTGTTTAAGTTGTGTATGATCAAGTTTTATATCAATTTATTTATCAAACAAATCTAATAAGCCTCAATTTGAGTAACGGAACAAAAGTTACGGTCAAACTTTCGAGCAGAAAACTCGGCGAGCTATTTGGGCTAGCGGGCACTGATTTGGGCGAGCGGGGGGGTGTCTTGGGCGAGCAAATTTTTTTTTTTTTTTGAAAAACTTCAAGAGACTAAACCAGTTGTTTCTGAGCTTTTTTTGGACTTTTTACACCATCACTCATAGCCAAAGATTGTGTATTTTGTAGGGCTCGTCGAGAATTTCGATTTGATATATAATAAGCCCTTGTTTGGAGTTATAGAGTAAAATTTACGATCAAAATAACAAGCAGGCGCTAGATGCGCGGACAGCCTCGTGTAGGCCAGAATGAGGGCTGCCTAGGCCAGCAAGGGAGTTGGGCAATAGTTTGGGCGCAGGGGCAGATCCAGGTGCCACTTCAGGCGCTGATCTAGGCGCCTTTGGAGCTATTTTGTACAATTTTAGGGGGCCAGGCAGCACTAGGCTGTCCCGTTTGGGCAAGCAAAGGTGGTCAGACACCTCTCCAAATGCTAAATTGTCTCGTTTGAGTGAGCATGGAGCGTCAGACACCTTTTCAGGTACTGGGCTGCCTCATTTGGACGTGCAAAGAGCGTCAGACACCTTTCTAGGTGCTAGGCTGTCTCGTTTGGGCGAGCACATAGGATCAGACACCTCTCCAGGTGTTGGGCTGCCTTGTTTGGGCGAACAGAGAACGTCAGGCACTTCTCCAGGTGCTGGACTGCCTCGTTTGGGCGTGCAAAGAGCGTCAGGCACCTCTCTAGGTGTTGGGCTGTCTCGTTTGGGCGAGCACATAGGATCAGACACCTCTCTAGGTGTTGGGCCGCCTCGTTTGGGTGAGCACATAGGATCAGACACCTCTCTAGGAGTTGAGCTGCCTCGTTTGGGCGAGCACATAAGATCAGACACCTCTTCAGGTGTTGGGCTACCTTGTTTGGGCGAGCAGAGATTCAGACACCTCTCTAGGTACCGGGCTATCTCGTTTGAGCGAGCACATAGGATCAGGCATCTCTCTAGGTGTTGGGCTGCCTCGTTTGGGCGCCTTGGGTGAGCCTTGGGTGCCTCGGGAGCTTTAGGAGAATGCCTTGGGAGATTTAGGCGAGCCTCGGGCTGCCTTGGGAGATCCTACTTGTGATAACAGAAACAATGTTATTCTAAACATTAAAATATCTCACATAATTACCTACAGAGAGAGGTAGGCTGCTTACGTAAGAGCAAAGACAGAGTTGGAGAACTGCTCGTAAGAGAGCTACACCTTTTGAAACCTAACTTTTGGCGACCCATGAGAGAGTCTTTAAGCTTGAGGTATAAGCTGCCTGTTTGATAACAGTGCAGAGACCAAGCTTTTATGGCAACCCGCGAGAAAGCCGCTAAGTTGGAGATAGGCTACTTGTTTGAGAACAGTGTAGAGGCCAAGTTTTTTTGGTGACCCGTGAGAGAGCCGCTAAGCTGGAGATAAGCTGCCTATTTGAGAACAGTGCAGAGGCCAAACTTTTTTGGACGACCCGTGAGAGAGCTGCTAAGCTGGAGATAAGCTACCTGTTTGAGAACAATGCAAAGACAGGTCAAGCTTCTGGTGATCTGCGAGATGATTCATCTCATTTATACTTGTTGATTTCTTCAGCATTCATATATATTTGAGCATTTTTCAATAGTTCTGGCATGCTCTTTGGTGGTCGCTTCATTATTGAAAAAAAGAATCTGGATGAGTGGAGGCCTCCCAGAAAGGCGGTCATGGTGACTTTGTCATTGGACTTCTTGATTTGGAGGACCTCCTCGTTAAAATGAGTGAGGTAACTCCTCAGACTCTCGTCTCGATCATGTTTTATGTTGAGCAGATGGGTGGCAGGCTTTTGTTGGCGGCATTCACCAATGAACTATGCCACAAATGATCTGCTCAATTCGACGAAGGAGTTTATGGAGGCCGGGGTGAGTTTGGTGAACCATTGTCGCACTTATCCCTTCAAATAATTGGGAATGCCCTACACATAATTTCGTCGGGGACGTTGTGCAGTTGCATTAGGGCCTTATAGGTTTCGATGTGATCAAGTGGATCATTCGTCCCGTCAAAGGTCTCCACGGATGGCATTTTGAACTTTTGAGGGAGGGGGTAGTTTGCCACTTCAGGTTTGAAAGGCGTGTCTGTCCGTATTACGAGATAGTCTATTGTCTCGGGTTCCTACACCTTCATGGCATTGAAGACATCACCCAGTTGATTTTGTACTTCCTTAATTTTCTTGTCCCAATAATTGGGGTTCCTCTGGAATGATCATAAAAATGACTCTCATGCTCCATTCTTTGATTTTCATCATTATCTTCTTGGAGATAAGGGTATTCATCATGGGAAGTAAGAGGAGCTGTAGGATGAGGTGGAGGTCTCTCATGATGGGCTCCCCTGTGTGGGGCGCCCAAAGGGACTCTAAGGGGGCGCCCAGAGCCCAAATGGGGAACAGCAAGTTGTGGAGCTCCTTGATGTCCAAGGAGTACAGTTCCTTGATGTCCAGGGAGTGGAGCTCCTTGAT